TTTTTTTTTTTTTTTTTTTTTTTTTTGTTCTAGCGTTGGGCGTTGTGTCGGAACGAACCACCGGGGAGAACAAGTCGCGGGAGGGAAAGGGGTGAGAAAAATATGGCTCCGGGTGCTACGTCGATCCAACTTTTTCCTTCTATTTTGTTTTATTTTTCCCCTCCCCCTCGCGCCCCTTTTTTCACCCGGTAGTACTCGAGAATCGTCGACCGCGTGGAATATCGGTCGTTGCAAATGAGATTCGCGGAAACTCGAACGTGACCGCGCGGGGATCGAACGACGTCGGTCCAACCGACACTTTCTTCCTCCGCTCGCTATATCTGGCAGAAGAAACTCTCCACGGGCCGAGAGTAAACCGAACGACGGCGGTAGAAAAAGCGGAGAAGAAACGCGAAAGAGGGATAGAAAGAGAGAGAGAATGAAAAGAAGAGGCAAAGAAGAGAGGGTGACAAGTGCCGGATTAACCAGCTTGTTTAAATGTTTAGACTGCCGGCCGGGAAAGCCCTTCTCCCTTTTCCGATGGAATTCGAATCGATCGACCGGCAAAAATCCGCTCGGGCTCGGGGGTTATCGTTATCAGGGGCAAGCTTCTGGTTGTTTCAACGGATTTAAATGCTCGTGAATCCCGGCGAGAAAGCAGGGTGACCGTTAGTTTCTCTCCCCGTGGTATAATAAGGGCTCCGTCTTACGATTTCCGCGCACCCGTGCTCCGCGGTCTGGACTACGGATAAAGAGTAAAAGAAAATAGAGGGAAAAATAGAAAAGCGGAAACGAAACCGGGAAGAATCGTCGAACACGAGCGGATTGCTGCCGGAGGGGAAAAAAGGAAAAAAAGAAAAAAAAAAGAAGAGAAAAGTAAAAATTCCCGTGCCCCTGTATCGTCGCTCCGCGTGAAAAGCGCGCTCGCCTCTCGCGTGGTTGAAGCTGAAAGGCGAGCGGTACAAGTTCCGATGTTTCGTATCTTCCTCGAGACGCATTCCACGCGAATGAGTTTCTTTCGAGTGCCGCGAACTAGCGTCCTCGGAGCGGACCAGCCGTTCGAAAGAAGTCTCGTTAAAGAGGCAAACGGGCTCGGCTGGCCGATGTCTGCGCCGAGGCGGGCAAAAACGGCCTCGGCCGTAGGTATCGTCTCGCTGGTAACGCGAATCGGCGGTGTTGGCAGTGCCGGAGCGTACGATACACGCGTGGCGTAATCGGAAAGCCGTTGCACTGATTAAACCGTGCCAAAGCGAACGTGGGTGTCGTTTTACAGCCGTGGCCCGGCGTCCTTTCAGCAACGAGCGGGTTCACCGGCGCAGGAAACGAACAGCGTACGTGCAACGATGCCAGTCAGGACCGCGTCAAAGGATAGGAAGCAGCCAGAAGCGAGAGGAACGTCGTCGGACCGATACCTGCACGTGCACCCTTCGATTCCGCACCTTTGCGAGAGGCCAGCTACGCCGGCCGCCACTTCCGCGTTCTTCCGGCTCGAGGGCGTCTTTTGATTCGTGCCCGAAAATAGAGCCCGGCAGACCGGTGAATGGTGACTAAAACGCGCGGCCATTCGCAACCAACATCCAGCAATCCTCCTCCGCTTTGCAACTCCGCGATACTCGCGATCGTCGCGCGTGCCTAGCGCGACCAACGCTTCCCGATGGATCGGCAAACTTACCCCCGCGACTCGACCGGCCTCTCCGAGTAGCCTAGCTGATTCTTCCACGGACAGTTTTCGCCTCTTCCTCCTGCTCGTCGCGACCGGGACGAACCGGAGGGAACAGTGTCTTGTGAGAAACGTGGAGCGACGCGGAGGTGTGTTGCCGGTGGAAAGAACGAAGAAAGAAGAGGGGCAGAGCGAAAGGAAGACGTCCAGGAAGGAGCCTAATGTTTCTCGGCGACATGGGGCTGCTAATGTTCTTAGCAGTAACGGCCTCCCTTTTGGGTTATTGCCAGACGGATGAAAAAGGTAACGTATAGACGTGGCTGGGACGGTGACGAAAGAAACGCGCGCTTCGCTTTCGACCCCGGTCTCGCGCGTGTAAATCCGGCCCGCGCGATGGCAACCCGGCGAACAACGACAGAGATTAACTTTTATGGTCAGCGAAACGAGTGGGCGCCGCGAATGTACTTACAAGTACTTGCACGTCTACTCCCTTTTCGCTCACCCTCCGATCCATCGCCGAGCTTTTAATAACCGACCAGAGCGCGCGAGTCGTCGCTCGCCGAAACGTGCACACGCGTCGCCCGACCGATCGCGCTCATCCCCGACCAGTGGATCCTCCGTGATTCTTTCTTTCGCGTTTCGATCGCGTTTTGCTCGTCGATAACGAGTCGATCCGAAACGACTGGGAACGGGCGAACTCGAGGACCGCGCGGCGACCGGGTGCGAAGGGGAGGAAAAATTGCGAGAGAGGCTTTAAGCGAAAGAACGAATTTCAGGGAAACAGAATTACCTTGCGCCGCGCGGACATCGCCGTGGGAAAATTTGTTATTTTAACGGTAATTCCGCGACGGTTTACCGAACCCATCGAGCGAGCAGCGGACGAGGAATCGCGGCGGTCGGCGCCAAATCTCGTCGATTTTAATCACGGCAATCGATACACGGGCCAGACTAAGAGTATCCCGCGGTGATTCCGAGGAGGACGATACGGGGAATATGGAAAGATCGATTATAAAAATTAATTACGACATTAGTTCTGCTCGTTCGATGCTCGCGGCGGAGATAAATCGAAGGGAAGAGGTAATTAATACAGTAATACGAGACATTCCATCCTCGGGTGCAACCACGGGTGAATGAAACAAGAAAATATGACAGGCGAAAATGTATTTTCCAACGTCTGTTATTGTTCCGATTCAACCTACTATTCGGCTATTCCGGCCGCGCTCCTTTTCAACCGGTTCGTCCTTCGGGATATTGTCTTCTCGCTTTATTTCCGCTCCGAATAATTCGAATGATCCGAATTTCACGATGCGGCGTACACGCGGAGATAACGCGCGCACGCGAGACAGTTTATTTTCATTTTCGGCAAGTTCTCGCTGAAAAATGGGCGAATAAAACCGAGCCGGGGTCAATCGTGGAATGGCGATTTTTTTAACCAGACAAGATCGTGATGGGAGGGAAAAAACAAAAGAGAGAGAGAGAGAGAGAGAGAGGAGAGCGGAAACTAACCACGATATCCATCACTCTATTCGAGGTTGCGCATCGGCGAGCGATCGTCGATGCGACGATAAAGCGTCGATTAATCCTCGTATCAAGCATACGCACGGGTTATTCGGGCAACAAAGTACTAACTTGACCGATTACCGGATTCGAAAATTTCCTCGCCTAAAATATCCCCAGAGGACATCGGCGCGTATCGAATTTTCCCCAATCCGCTGACATCCGCGAGTTATCGAGCTGCCCCGCGCGGAAACGAATGCCAGGCGGAAAGGAAGAAAGGATATAGAGAGGAAAGGAGGAAGTTTCCCTATCGATCGGGGAACGCGTAATCAGTTTTTCATTTAGGCGACTGATCCATCGTTTAGCGGATATTGCGAGCGCCGGCGATCGAATTATTCGTAACTCGGAAAACAATTATCCGCTATTTTTCGCTACCGCCCAGTCGGAGCCGAAATTTATCGCTATACGTGCAACGTCGCGGGCCATCGAATCGAGCATCGAGATACCATGATGGAAATAGCAATGGCAACACGAGTTTAATCAATTTCCCGTTTATCTCGCCTTCCATTTCTCTAATCCATCATTTCGCTCGCGAATCCGAGCAACGTACGTCGGGAGCGGTCGCTTTTCCCTCGCCCGACGATTTCTCAGCCGAAAGGACGCGTACTCGCGCGTGTACCTCGTTAATTAAACGCGACCGTTCTTTCGAAATTCCCACGGGGGGCAGAGGGGCGAATAAATGAACGCGGAGAAAAGCGTCTTAATCCTCGAGTTCGCACGCTCGACTGAAAAGCGGGGAAAAACGGAATCGCGATACGCTATCAGCGCAGTCATCGCGCCGTTTATCCAGCTAATCTGTCCTTTATAAGCTATAGTTGTTGGATCGAAGGCTCGAACCGGCAGGTGCATCGGAGAGTAAAACGAATTCCCCCATCGACGGGATACGTCTGGATAGCATTTCGCCTTACTTTCTCATTTCGCTCGATCTCGGCTCGAATTCGACGCGGGATTGCTACGGCGAAAAGGAGACCAGGCCTTCTTCTCTGTATTCCCCAACGTTCGTTGCTATACTCTCGATAGGGCTCGGAAGATCGGTATAATTTCGCGAAGGTGCCCGACGTCGTCGCTCCGTTAAGAACGGCGTCTATCGAGGGTTGAGGGTGGCTTTGAGAAATGGTGGCTGCCCCCCGGCCACCGATTTGGCCGTTTCTGTGCTCTATTATCTCGGTAATTAGCGATCGATGAACATTTCCGATAGGAGAAAATCTGCCTGTAATTGGATAAGGACCTCGACCTCGTTATTTCTCCGCTCTGCCTTGCACGGATAAACGCGAACCGCGAAAATAATAAACTGCGCGCGGAAACGGGGGTAAAAGCACGCGGTCCTGCTCGCGAGAGACGCGTCGAGATCATGCGGCGTGTCATCGTCATACTTTCCGCCATTCCGGCCGCGTTCACCCTCTGTGACCAACCTTCCTTCCCTCTCGCCGAGAGGAAACTCGCGATCGACCGGATCGCAACGAGTTTGAACCAGGTTTGAACCTGGAAGACGAGTCGAAGGACAGCGAATCGATACGGAAACCTGCTCGATTAGCTAAACCCCCCCGCGCTATAACGAGTCTAGCCCGGCATGAATGTTTCATGGGAAATCGGACAAACACGAGTTACTTTCGTTATGGCACACACAGCGAGATTATACTCGACGCGTTTCCACGCGGATGAAATTTATTATAAATTTCGAAGCAGGTATATACGGGTGTTGCAATTAAATCGCAAAGCAAAGCGAGGCGAGTGTAGGAACTGTAAATATTATTCTCGAAGCAGCTAACGGAAGAGGGAGAACTATTGCGAATACGCGGATCGTTTGCTGTCGGTGTAACGGCGTATTCGGGAAATGCAGTGATAATGAGACAAAGCAAAATTAAAAAGACGCGAGTACATGCTCGTGTAATTTTCGAGTAATCTGCAGTTGCAGCTAACGCTCGGACGTCCGGCTTGCGATGGAATCTGTGAATAAACTTGTGAATAAACTTGTAAATTAACCTGCAAATAACCTGGAAGCGCGCGATGATGATTACGCGGCTACGATTAAAATAGAGGAACGGATAAATGAGTTAATTCCACGAAAGCTGGGTAAGAGGACGTCTTGGGAGAGGAAAATTACAAAGGCAGACGTATCGGACTGGTTCGATGGTCCCAGTGTTAAACCTCGGTTTAACCCCGATGCGAGGCTACACGCGTCGATTTGTGCGTGCAGAAATACAACGATTTCTACGGTAACAGGAACCGGGGAACCCCTTGAACAGCTGAACCAGGACACCCGTTTCGAATCGATTCCATCGATTCGCGGTTGACGTTGACGCTTCTATGCGCCATTGCTCGATGCTGCTGCTGCTGCTGCTGCTGCTGGTACATCAGTGGCACGAGAAGAAAGGGAAGAAAGGGAAGAAGGTTGAAAGAAGGGGTCAGAAGGAAGAGAAAAAGAGGATACTTGGTAGTTAATGACCCGTGAGGTTATTCTACGTACTCGAACGCTTTCTTAGATCATTTACACGCGCCTCTGGGAAATAAACTCTTTACAAGTTGCAGCGTTCGGCGCAGGCGGACGTCCGATTTCTCGGTATACGGCTAGATGCGAGATCTCTCCTTCAACGGTCGTTTAAAGGAGTTGAAGTCGCTCATTCATCGGTCTTGCCAGGCTTTTCAATCGCCTACTGTGTTTTCTTCCCTTTTCTTTTTCCCTTTGCCTCTTTATCGCGCTCGCTTCGTTCCCCGCCGCGATCGAGACAGATCTACCGATGGAAAATATCCTGCCGTACCTTTATAACCGCCGACGAAACATCAATTAAATTCTGCCCCGCCGTTCGTTTATTTATCTTCCCCGTGTTTTCCCACGCGCGTTCTGTTCCCGTGCTTTTTTCCCCATTTCCCCGAAATTCCCGATATTTCGCCGGCCACTGTGTATCGCGAATTAAACAGGTAAACGTATTCGTATTCGGTGATACGACCCCACGATATCTCGCATCGACCACGATCCCTATTCCTTTTACTCGCAGGGCCCGGAGGTAAATAGTTTTACGAGCGTAAGTTGCCTTCGTTGGCGGTAATAAATTATATCGGCCGAGGATAACAGACTCCGTTTAAGCTGCACCGACGGGCAAACTAAGTGACAAGACTGGAAATTGTATGAATTACGCAGAAACGTCGCTGCAGCTATGCATCCATCTTGGCCGGGTGGTCGCGATTCGCTAACTGTTACCCTCCAATTGCCTCGCAGCGTGTCAAATTTTTGCGCAAACAGCACGCCCGCGTGCGCGATACCGAACGCAATGAAAAAGAAGAAAATAGAAATTCGGGAAAAGAGGAAGGTGAAACAGTGAAGCGCTGAAATATCCGAGATACGATAAATGAATAAACGTCAAATTCGATATGATTAAATTTCGAGGGATTAAATCGCTTAAACATCTACGGTATCGGCCGATATACGGGAACCGGATATTTTTCTCGATAAAGTGCTAAATCGTCGCAATTTCCGCGAAAAGCGAAAAATTATCAGCGATCGAGCAGTTTTTCGGCAGAGGGATCTTCTCGTTTTCCACTCTCTGGAGTGGACGCGGTTTTCTAATGAATCTCGCGTAAAATTCATCGATAACACCGGATGTCTGGACTAGAGATGAGCCTACGCGTAAAAATAAGTAGAAAATAACATTTCCTCGCGCGAGGTCTCGTTTTCGGGGAAAATCGAGTTTGAAAATTCGCGATTCGCTGAATCTAATCGTATTTTAACTCCGCGGATTTCTGCGTTGTCTATCTTTTGTGTTATTCTATCGTTCGACCCACTTAATATGGACGTGAAAGTGCTAGGAATGTTTATGGACGAACATAAATACTATCTAGAGTGAAATTCATAGTGTTCGAACTGAAATAAAAGAACAACTGCACCGTGAATCTTCGACCCCGATTTTCCCCGAAATAAAGCCACGAATGAAAAAATTTCATCTCTTCTTCTCTCTACTAACATATTTTTCCACGTGAAATTATTTTCTGGTCGATTGCGTGTAATTATAATATAGGATGAGTGAAAAATTTCTAACGTCCGTGATGAACGAACAAATTTTAGGAACCCCTTGCCCCGCGATTTAAGTTCCGATAGGGCGTGCCATAATCAGCGACCGAGTCGGACCATTTCAAGAATAACACGTAACCGAGTTAGAAAAACATCTGCGAAAACGAACCACGAGCTTGACCAATGAAAATAATCATTAAACGCTTCAGAAGCATGTCTAAATTACTATTTCTCCAGCTATGCAAATTGGGTATCTTCTCCAAGCGAAACCCAATTTCTCTGCTATTGGTCAGGAACACTGTAAGGGTGTATTATAAATATTACTAACCGTTACTCTCGTTGGAAAACTTTCCAAGTTCCGACAGGGTGTGGCACAATGTCAAGAATAACACGCAAGCGAGACAGAAAGATTCCGACGAAAATGAACCTATCTACGAATCACGTCTCTCACTCGTGATACTCATGTTCGACCCGATTCCCCTACCACGAGTCTCGCACGATATTCTAGGCGAAAGGGTTAATCGCTCGACCGACCTTGGCCATCAGCGAGATATTCCCCGTGACCCGACATGAACTCGCATGATCTTGACCGTTGCCTTGGTGACACCTGATACATAATCTTAGGATAATCGCGTCACCGTCAAACCACGTTGCGATCCGCGAATGAACCCGTCTCGATGATCATCCTACGTGACGTCGGACGACCCTGACCCACCGTGACACGATTTCGGCGACCTTAAAAGGCGATTCTAAAAGGAAAACGACTATTTCCCGCTGCTGTTGCCTCTCGTTTGCAATCGCGACTATCCTCTCTGGCAATTATTCTTCGCGGACTCGATCCACGCGCGCTGTTAACGCGCTCGCGAAGATGTACCGCGACAGTTGCGGTTTATCGGTGATCCAGCGTGCAAGGGAAGACAGAAACGCGAAGCCGTGTTTCACGCATCGGTAGGAAGGATAAATTTTTGCAATTTATTACAGTGTCATTCTACGGCGCGAGCTATATCCATCTGCCGGTGCAGGAAGCCAAGGGTGCGACGGACATCAGCTTCCGGTTCCGAACTCATCTCGCGGACGCCATGCTGCTATTGGCCGTTGGCAAGACGGATTACTGCCTGATCAAACTCGAAGCCGGCAGATTGAAGGTTCGTTTGCCCTCGATGCTTACTTCTATTAATAGGCTTTCTGTTTGGGGCTTCGTGGTCGCTGGTCGTTAACCAGCCGCACGTGCTACAGTCCTACAGTCCAACGCGACAGTCTGCACTCCCTCTTTGCCTCTCGTTTCATCTTTCCACAGCCGAGCTGTCCTCGCTAAGAAATTAGGCTCGCTTTGATACACGCAGAGCGAGGGGGTGAGCAGAGGGTAGCGGGGGCGGTAGAAGAAGAAAAGGTCGGGTCGGGAGTTAAAAAATGGAAAAGAAGGGAGGACGATTTCCACGCACACGGCTAACGAGCGAGTTCCATCGGTCGGTTTTACAGCTTCGATAAAAACCGTGTCGTGATTTTAACAACGTCACGTCGTTGCCCCGTTTTATCCCGGCCATTAAAAGTCCGCAAGTAAAAACATCTTATTTATGTACGCTTGTGCTCGCCGGGGCACGCGAGTAACGGCGGGCAGGGGGTGCAAGAGATCGACGCGTTTCACAGGGCATGGATAAAATCTATCGGGAAGAAAGGGAAAGAATGCATTTTTTTTTTTTATTCCTCCCCTGCTCGACGAGTTAAAAGCATTCGTAAAACTCGCCCCGGCAAAGTTCACGCCTTCCTTTGATTTCGTTTAAGCCAATCCCATCGTGAGTTTCCTCTGAACCGGCGAGCAGAGCGCCAAAGCGTCGGGCCAATAATGAGTGGCAGCGTAAAACGTTGATATAAAATGTGTACGGCTACGATTCGATTTTATTACCTTTAATAATCCGTCACGTAACTACCTCGGATCGGGACGATCGCTTTATGGCAGCGGGAACAAACAATACGACATTGCGATCCATCGGTCCGTGCTCGCGAGGAGCAATTTTCCCTGTGCATCTCAAAAATATAATACTCGACCGCGGGCTGTCGAGTGTTTTTAATCGAATTTAACGTGACACGATCAAATTTAATTCTCGCCACCCGCGGAATAAAGCATTGTAATTTATCTCAAAGCAATGTTCTCTGTAAATTGCCACGAAAAATTCTATTTGCAAATCGCCACCGGCCAAACTTTAACGTTCGTCGTTCGAATTAAAACGAAATTTTTCAAAATACTCGCAACATTATATCGAAAAGCTTAGACACCATGAATAGATCCTCCTCTTTATCAATCGCGCGAAATAGCGAAAAGAAATCGTCTAGATCGGTCCTGAAGCTGGAAAAACGAACGATCGAAAGATCGCAGACAGTTTCCCGATGCTCATCGTCGAAACGACCATTCCGAAATGTCTAAATTCCAAAATCTGATGAAAATGGAAGGAAAAGGGAAACGTAGGTCCACTGCTTTAATTCGGAGAACGTGGAAATTATTTATAATTTCGGCTCTGCCGCGTTTCGCAGATTTCTCTCTTCTTTCTCTCTGCGAATTGTTCCGCCAGTTAAATTGATTTCGCGCCGGCGAGATCGATCGCGTGGATCGTTACGCTGCATTGGCGGGGAAAAGCAACGATCTAGCTGGATCCGGCGAGCTTCGGCCACGCGAGTTCCGCGTGCGCGATCGCCGAAACGAATACTCGTTGGTGCAGAATTAAACGGCGCCAGTACCCGGTCGCATTACGGAGAACAACGACGCACGGGGGACGACGAAACCCTGAAGGGCCACTTTACCCTTAGATAGTAATCGTCGCGCAGCTCCGGTTACAAATTACGAATCCGTGAGAAGAATCGCTGCATGGATCACGAGAGGCGAACAACGCCATCGGGATATGAGCGACTCTGCCACGACGAATGATACCCAGTCTGCCCGATGACAAATTCCGTTTAATTCCAGCGCATTACCGGCAAGGAACGCGCGATGAATAGGAAAAACTCGGAATTCTGGAACCCCCTTGGTCCTTTTGTTCCGGTGTTTCTCTTTTTCGTATTATGGCTCCCTTTTGTACCAGGTCCCTGTGGCCCCCCTCGGTTATTTGTTTATCAGACCGGGACCTATTTGCGCGATATTAAATCTGCCAAAAGCCGGACAAAGATGCGCGAACGCGTACGTAAAGCTTCGTACAGCTTCCGCTGCCTGGGGCACCCTCTCGGCTCGCTACCCCCTGCAACGCGCTGAAAATATTACGGGTATTGAACAGACGTTAACGAGAAAATTCACGAGCGTTATGAGGATAGTTGTTAGTTATTAATCGACCGATAAAAGCCACCAAGTTGGCACTATGAAAGGAATCGTTGGTTCTCTCACGCGCTAGCCACACCAGTCTGCGCTGAAAAACGCAACAATGGCGCAGATGCGAGGTAATAATAGAGATAAAATTATGAAAAGCATAATAAATACAGAGACAAAGCAGGGGAAATTAAGAGTGACGCGTACAATCGTGGCTTGAAGCATTCTGCAGCTTAAAAACGTTAACGTTCCTTGCGAGATCTCTAATAGCCTCGAGGATTCATCGAATTGCTCGCACCGTTCGTGAGATTTATCGTCCTGAATTTATGAACTTCGGATCGGGAACGCGATGGAGTTCCGGTATGTTTCACACAAATATCGAAATTAATCAATGGGAAGGTAATCTGTCTCTTAACACTCGCGTAGAGGAGACTGAGATCGATTACTGCTCTCCTTGCGTCAAGAGAACGCAAACTGAAGTTCCGCATAATTGCTGTCTAACCTTGACGAGACATAGTTCATAACACGTGTTAAACTCTCTCGATCCGGCAAATCTGTTTCTAGATGCACGGAGACTACATCGTCGCATACTCTGCTTTAAATCACTTGGAATTTATACCAAGAAATGCGCCTAAATATTCCTACTGCCGTCGATTCTTCCATTTCCTCGCGTGGTCTGGAAAAATCGGTACCTCATTGGAAACCCTGCTTTATTGCGTTCGCCGCTGATCGTTTGTCATCGGTTATCTCGCCTCTGACTCGAGGCATTAATATTCTTCAACGGGGACGGTTGCTTTTGAATCGTTGACGCGTAGCTTCTTGATCGAGCTCTTCTAAAGCGATTCCAGCATTAACTTCGATTAACGCGATTACTGGAAAGCTCGACGTTTCGCGCCTCTCATTGCTCATCGACGGGAGCGAGATCGAAGCATCGGCCATCTCGATCGTCCTCGGAATATCGACTGCTCGAAATTGCCAAATTATCCACATCCGCCGATTAACGAGCAGAGACAAAGAAACAAACACCTCGAAAAGTTGCGGAAACTAGCACTTTTGATCCCGCGAAGAGGTCTAATTGCCATTGTACCCAAACGATCGCGGTTATGGCAGCGAATCTCTAATTTGCTCTAATTCAACGACGAAGAAATGCGGCGGAAACTCTAGTCCTGCAGGTCTGATAAATCCGAGAAATCGCGGACCAATCAGCCTATTCAGCTGGCCGAGCAAGGCTCCGGAAACGAATTGGTATAATTCAGCTAAAAATCTGGAAGAGGAGGCAGTTTCCTTCTGCGAAATATCTCGGGTCTTTTCGACTGGGAAAATTCGGAAAAATTCAGGAAAATTCGAGAAAATTCGGGAAAATCCGGGAAACTGCGGGGCGATGGGTTTACTCTGGATACCGGCGGCATTGCGCGATGATTAGCGACGCTGTGTTGTTCGCGAGATTGAAACGTCGGGCGCGGTTTCTTTCGACGTGACCTTAAGCCGATGACTAGGGTAATCCGGTATCTCGATAGAGCGTTAAAATACCGTCTAAGTGCATTAGGGTGCGAGGAAAATGCCGTTTCTCGGTGGAACGCTGGGATCCAGCGTGAAAACCGCGCGAATCTAATTTCGCCAAGGGTTAAGTTCACAGGCGGAACCATGAGAAGACGTGGGTGGGTGGTGTCTGAGCTTAATTAAATTTGTTAAGAAGATCGTTAAGGAGGATGAGACGGGGATAAACGGCCGGGCAAAAAGTGCAATGGGATCGCTTTAGCCTCTCGTGTGCCTCGATTCGCCGATGAACCTAGTCCGTTTTAAAACCTTTCCCATCTTCCGCGTTGTTCCATGATTCCGAGGTTCGAAGTGGCCAATTCGTGGACCGGTATCGTTCGCTTCGGCTTGTTTAACTGGCGCGTGAAATTCGCGTGAAAGTCGATTCCGCGTTACGCACCGTGGCCGTTTGCCTGCCAGCGAATCGAAAAATTTGATCAATCTCGTCGGACAGGCGACGGACATTCGTCGGCCGCTGATCGAAACGTTGAAAAGCGAGGACCGCGCGAAACTAGCGCCACCGCGTCCCCGATCTAAGGGGAGAAAATGGCGGTCTTTTTCCTCCGGTTGTAATCGAACGGCGGAATATTTGTCATTGCTCGCTTTCCAATCACCGGTGATGCATCGATAATGCACCGACGTGGTCTCTTCGACCTTCGGAACGTATAGATCCGCGTTTACACTCGCCCAAGTGTCGTGTCTCTCGCGCTTATACATATTAATGGGGTCCTGCATAGTCATCGGACATCGCGCTACTACCGGCTGAACTTGCAACTCGCAAAAGCTCACGCCTTTATTACGAAATCGATCGGAGAACGAGAAGAGAGAGCGTTTGAAGCGTGGTCGGGCTACGATCGGCCTCCATGCCAATCGCGCTCCCTCGTAATTTCGACCCGTCTCTCTGCCAACCATCGACTTTTCATTAAGACACGATTCTACCTCGGTTGTCTCGACGGTTCGTTCCTCTATATACAAGATCATCGGCATGGTAAGGGTAAAGGATCGTGGAAGTTGCACGAAGATGCCGCTATAAGTCTCGGGCGGTCGATTTAGGTCGCGATTAAAGACTCTTTATCAGAGGCTGCCGCTTCGGCTCTCGCTAAAGCGCGTCGTGTACTATCCTAACTCGATAATGCATTACTCGAACCCGCCTCATAATGTCGACCCAAAGATGCCGCAAAACGGAAAAAAAGCACGGGTAATCCCCGGCCGTTTGCGGCGACGTAGAGGGCGCCTGTGAGGAGGGGTCGAGCTTTGGATTAATAAAATACACTAGTTACTATGTCAACCGTTTCTTTTTAACGCTAGTCGGATTACCGTCGCTGCTCGCCCCTTTATTACCGCTAAACGAACGTTTCCTTGCGGGCTTTTAAATGAAGCAAATGCCGCGTTAAGCAGATGCTAATTTTTACTCTAATTCACTTAGAAGTCCGACTCGACGACGGTCTAGTCACTTCTCTAAAGAGGGAAAGAATTACGCCGCGAGTCGTTTGCCTGCCTTTATACGCTCCTCGGGATTCTATATTTCACCGGTCCTCGCGTGTTTCGCGCCATTTTTCAAAACACTCGCGAGACTCTCGTGGATCCTATTACGAGCCATCTAGTTAAAAGAGGCGGCTGATAAACGAGCCATAGATGACAATCCCGAGGAGATCGATATTTAATACGTTTCCGGAGTACCCTTTTACACTCCGCATGCACGGACCCAAGACGTAATGCCTGTGAAAGTAGGATGAAAAATGAGATGTCGGATCGCCGGGGTTTCTCTTAGCTCGCGACGCCGGAAGAATTTCAGGAAATATTAGTTGTCCTAGAGATTCCGAAAAATCCCAGTCTCTTCGCGTATGAGATACGTCTGACCTCGAAATTTCGAGGCCCTGCCAAAAAATCCCTCTCTCGACCGCGCCGTTATCTTGCGTAAATCTCCGACAGCCGGTAATTATCTCTGCCCGGAGAAACTCGCCGCGAACTTGCGAAACTTTCTCGGCTGAATGGATGTCTCTGCGATCCCGTCTGCCCGCAGTTTCGCTTCGTGCCGAGAAAATCGTTCGCTCTGCTTTCTTTCCCGCAGGTTCATATTAATTTAGGCGCAGGTGAGAGCGAAATGGCCAGCGCTCGCGGACTGACATTGAACGACCTGAGCTGGCACGAGGTGAACCTGACGAGACGAGAGGCCAACATCACGCTGCAGATCGACGTGATACACATGACCAAATCTCTGCTACCGGGCCGTTTCTTCGAACTCAACATACACTACGGTGTCTTCATCGGGGGACAGGGTGACTTCAACGAGCTATTTCTAGGTAAGATGCGAGCTTGACTCACTCGGATAAATCGTCTCGCCACGTGACTACACTCGCTTACTATGCCCCGCTACTCGCAGCAACACGACACCAACTTGCCACGCGTCGATTTTAACGAAACTTCTCCGGTAATCGAACACGACCTGCATACGTCTCTCGCTTAAGACCAGTTTTAACACCCCGTGCATCTCCTTTGCGAACCTCCGACGTACATCTCGCGTGTAATTTCTGACAGACTCTTGTTCCCAACTTTCCGCGTTCAGTTGCCACTCTTGTTTCCATTTTCTTCGTCAAACGTGAACCCACCCCCGGTCTAAGTCACCTCGGATGGACTCGGATTAAAAATTCCATTACTCGAGTTGAACGTATAATATATCTGGGATATATTCGACCTATAGATCCGTCTTCGTTTTACTTCCTTTGAGATTCATGCGCAGCCCCGATAGGCTGGACGTGACGGACTTAACGCGAACGTAGCCTCGTTCAACGCCAAATCGCTTCCTTTCTTGCATCGAACAATGTCTAATATTCGATTCCCTATTCAAACCCGAGTACAATTTCAAACACAAACAGAAAAGAAAGGGTATCGTCGAGTTCCCCTCTGTTGTCTCAGCAACCTATCACGTATCGATTTTAATGAAACTTCGCGAGTAATCGAAGAACGAGCAAACCCGAACGCGCTACAGAAATTGTTAGAGAAGGTATGGAACGAAGACGACGAGACTCGATATTGCCAACCAGTTTCAATTTTTCAAACGTATTCTTCTTCGATGACGATGACGAACAGGCAACCGATGTACGTTTCCTCCTCGTTTCTTTCTCACCTTTCTGTAAAACCGAATTTCGCGAACCTTCAACGCGAATCACGCGTGTAATTCCTAATACTATCTCGATGCCGAAGTTTCCACGTTTCGTTGCCACATCCTTGTTTCCATTATCTCCATTAACGCGCGGGCACAATGTACCCTCGTTTAACGCCAAACCACTTCCCATTTTACGTAGGACAATACCTAATATTCGCTTGTCTGTTCGAACCAGGCTGAAATTTCAGCTACGAACGGGAAAGAACAGTCATCATCGAGTCCCTCTGTTGTCGACTTAGTCGATGACGAAATTTCCTGCCCGGACGACGAGGCCAGGCCGGAATCGAAATAGGAAAACAATATAAGGACGTTGGACGAAAAATATTCCATCGACCCAGTCCGGGGGAACTTCACTTGCCCCATCAAATCCCCACTTCCGTTCGATATACCATTCGTATAAAAATTCATATTTTCGTGACTGCAAACGGATTATACACAGACCGTGGTACACGTTACATGATCACGGTTCGGCAACAACTATCCGGATACGAGTATTCGTTTTGCATTTGCAATACCCACTCTATCGCGGAGATTTTCACGCTGTACAATAAAAACAGAGGGACCGATGATTTGCGAGTAGCTAGATCGACGTTACGGTTTGTTATTTCGCTTGGCCAATCGAATACAACGGTAAAGCGAGGAGATCCAGCTGCTAGCGCGAATTAAAACGGGAAGATGGATAGATGAGAAAGTATGCGAATAGATGGTCGGATGGAACCGACCGTTTGTTTTTAACAGCCCGATTTCCCGATTCCACAAAACGGAGTCCACGTCGTCGTTTTTCGTTTAATATCTTCGAATGTCCTTGAATACCCCCGAGTAGTCGCTCTACGTTGCTAAATCCACGGGATAAAGAGATAAAGATATCCCATGCGAGGAAAGAAATACGAGGGTAACCTTAAACTCCTTCCTGCTCCCTTAGTCATATTTCCACCCTATAATCTTCCACTCGGGAATTTTTGTTAAAGGGGTTATTACGCAAGGAATAGTAGTCAGTGGAAAACTGTGGAAAACTGTGTAGATCTTTATTGAACAGGCGAATGGTTAGAACTGGCCTGTTCGGGACCTCGCAGGTCAAAAGTCGTCTTCAGAAGACTGGTGACAAAAGACAACCAATGTTTCTTTAAGCTTCTCGGCGCTTTTGCGCTGCTTTACCGCACCTGGTCCATTTTTGGATGTAGCGACAGGTGTTGGTTGCGAATTTAAGATCATCATCGTACCAATGAAAGAAGCATGGTTCAACCAGCGGAGGAAGTCAACCCGCACTTGACCCTTAGTAGACTTAAGGAGTACGCCCGGGGAGGTACCCGATATGGCGTATTACTCTTGGGCCATTTCAGATCTGGCATGGATATGAGATCCAACCGAAGGTCTCCATGGCCCGTTGGTGACAAAAGACAACTATTGTTTCTTTAAGCTTCTCGGCGCCTTTGCGCTGCTTTGCCGCACCTGGTCCATTTTTGGATGTAGCGACAGGTGTTGGTTGCGAATTTGAGATCATCATCGTACCAATGAAAGAAGCATGGTCCAACCAGCGGAGGAAGTCAACACTTGATCCTTAGTAGACTTAAGGAGTACGCCCGGGGAGGTACCCAATATGGCGTATTACTCTTGGGCCACTTCAGGTCTGGCATGGATATGAGATCCAACCGAAGGTCTCCATGGCCCGTTGGTGACAAAAGACAGAACATTGGAGGAAGGGATCATCCCCACACCGCTGGAATGTAGAGTTTGCTTCACTGTTGAATTTTACCGTAACAATTTTTTCCGCGGGATCTATTATTCCTATAGTGCTCCTAACGACAGCGGCACCCCCGTGAAAGACGAAACCATGCACCTGTTCGATCATCGGCGGCAAACATCGACGCGGGAGCAAACATTTGGACGATATTAAACAGCTGGAAGAGGGAAACGAGATCGCAAATTAAGACCGATTCGCGTCGTATATCAAATGGCCAGTCTGTATCTTTCGATATCGATCGAGTGAAATATTATTTAGTGTACGTCACGGAGGATATTTACTCCATCCATCACTGACGTAGACCATCAGCAACGGTCATTGAGCAAGATTAGCGCGGAGAATATTCCGATAGCACAGTACGACGACACTGTTCCCTCTAAACCTAATTTCTAGTCGTTGACGGATCGATCATAGATCTACTTCCCAGATGAGATGAATCGTTTCGAAGTATCGGAGCTCGCAGGGATCGCTCGACCCACTAATCGTAACCATGAAATCCCAAATCGGATGTAGCTGACCGAGAGAAACGCCGACTACGGCGATGGAAAGCTATTCTCTCTTCACCGATTCAGACATCGACCATTATCCCTAACAAGATTATACACGATGAGGAGCAATCCGAGTGAGAAATATATCCCGAATTACGAATCCGCAAGGAGGTTCCCGTCTGTTCTCCGTGGATTTTGCCACGGTCCCGCGCGGACCAGTTCTATCTTTCTTTCTTTCTTTCTTCCAATCTCTCTCTCCCATTCTCTCTTCGTGGTATCTCTCGCAGCTACTTTCTCGGGTTAAATCAGAACGCGAGCGGAGCGAGGATGAGCGCGGCGCGCCCGCCTCGAGCCAAACAGCAATAACTTCGGTCGCTGGAGTACAGTGACAGCGATAGAGATCCTGGTTGGCTAAAAAGCAAAAATTCATCGGAAGGCGGTCGAGGTGACGCGTACCAAATTGAATACGATCAGTACAAACAGAGAGTGTACCGGTGGCGGTTCGTTCCCCACCGTTATTCCCTCGAGCATCTCGTGCAACGCTCGACGACCAGCTCGAAATTCAATTTACATATTCATGACAATTCATTTGTACCCCATGCTACGACATAGCCGTGCAGCCACCCCTCTGCGAGCTCTTATTAATTCCTGAAGAACGAGCAAAGGAGCGAGCAGACCTTCCACTCCGTCCTCTATTCGCGGACAATTCCTTCGTTTTTCGTATACCGGGTCTGTGCGCGATGTCGAGGGAGGGTGGAACCACCCCTTCGAGTCGTCGCGATGCCGCGTAACCGGAAAAGGGTTCGCGCGAACTCGCAATCGCCACGAGTTATTCATTTTCCGTCCATCTCGCTGAAATATGCATGGGACCAACATGGGACCAACGTGGAACCGTTAATCCGGCTCCCAGACGCGAATGTTTCCTTCCACTCTCTTAGGATTAAGGTGACGGGGAAGAAGTTGGCGAGTCGCGCTTATAGATACACGTATACGTACGCATACGCAGCCTCCCATAAGCGTTTCCGGGAAAGATAAACGCGGGGAAGGAAGATACGTGGATAACAGTTTCGATTAAGAGTTACTTCGATGTTACGCGTATGTTCGAAAATGAAATCCGCGGCACGAGTTCGGTTTATCGAATGACGTTTCCGTGGCTACGTGAAAATATGGAGAAAGCTCCCCACTAGACACACATTCGATACTGGGAAATCAATAAAAGTATATACCGAGATGTCGGTGTGAATGTTCTATCGCGAAACATTCGATCACGGTTACGTCCAAATAAATTGAACAGTCTTGAATGTGGCGACACGGGAAATTATTTATTTTATGGCTCGGTTTCACGGTCGCGGGTACGGCGAAATCGTTTTCATCCCCGACGTCCCGATATTACTGTCTCCGTGGCGGCGAAAAATCGCCGTATAACGCACGAAAGAACATTTCTTACGTTTCCCCCGCCTTTCATCCGCGTTATTTTCCTCCACGGTGCCATCCCGAAAGTCTTCGGCGTCCTTTAAATTAATACGAAGCACGAGTTCCTCTGGTATCTCGAGTCGGTGATTATTTCCAACAGCCTCCTCGACGTCGATTCCAACGATCTTGAAATGTACAATCATCAGTCGTAATTCCAAAGTCCGACAAAATCATTTTAACCATTGCAACGATTTCTTTCTCGTATCTCTTTCTGGTATTCCCGATGACGCGAGACATCTGCCGATTTAGAAGGTTTACAAAGATTAAAAATAACGAGGGAAATATTTGAAAACCATCGAGAGCTAAATCATTATACACCCTTAAAATCCACCAAGAGCGCTAGAGAGAGTTGTTCGCGAAGTGGACATTTCCCAGTGACCCAGGTCCATTTAGCGGTTATCCGCGGTATCTTTGGCCGGCTGTAGGAAAAACCATTCTCGAAACTTCTCCAATTAATATAATCGTGGTGCACACGAGAGGATCACGTAGGGCGGTAGCTGCGGCAAGGCTGCGGGATGAACGATTTACCGCACTATGAACGACTTGGTTTATTGCCGAGGTTTATACACCGCTACACCGGCAAATGTCATCGCGAGTCTCCGTCTGTAAACACTAGCCAGTTTTCCCTTATGCGTCTCGCGTTGCAACCTTTCGCGTTGTCTTGCAGCGAGCTACTCTGCCTCCGGTCCCAGGGCCAATGCCATCGCTGGGAAACACGGTGGAATTGGTCCGGACGATGCAGCAAAGCCCTCTATCGGCGTGATTAAATTACTTTTCGTCGAAATTGCAATTTGCACGCGACTCGTCGTAACAAATTAACAGGCTGCGATTATCTCGGTGAATTATATTTGGCGAACGCATAGGATAGGTGGATTCGATAGCCCAGTTCGTTTCCTGGCAGCCGACGAAACTGAGATTATCTGGCCATCAACCCCGATGCGGTTTGCAACTGACGCTTTCATTACACCACTCTTTCATGAAGACCCCTGCCGTTGAATGATACCTCGTGAACCGGTGCCAAAGTGTGCCACCGTGTTCTCCGCGTCTCGCGAGACTATAAGAATCGTCTGGCCATCGAGTTTAATATCCGCCCCGTTTCGTTATTTGCTCGCGCGAGTAGCTCGTTCAAAGGATATTGCGAACACCGATCCGAAAGCGCGACTTCAGCCTCGCGAGGCATTCGAGGTGTCGTTCCACGTGGCTTAGAAATTAGACCTAGCCCCCTCCGACCCCTCCGACCACTACGACCTCATCAACCCCTCTGCCGACCGTATAATTTTCTTTCAATTTTTCTCCCCATTCCGCAGGACACACGGACTACTTGCGGGGCTGCATGGCTGACATAATCTACAATGGCGCCAGGGTAATAGAATACGCCAAGTCGAGGAAAGGCCAGTCGGAGGCCACGGCCGTTACGTGGGGTTGCTCGCCGGAATTCGACGCTACGAGGAGCACGGAAGTTAGTTTCGTGGAGGATGGTGCGTTCACGGCGATCCCGAGACTCATACCACGCTCCGGCTCGAGGTACGTAGCTAAAACGCCTTTTCATCGCGTAAATTATACCCGAATGCGAGAACGTGTTCACCTTGCGGGACCTGACCTGCCCCGAAATGTCCTCCAGCCTTTCGCCAATGTAGCCGAATTAACCGATACTCCGTATCGCGCAGTCACACTGACCCTAATAGCGATCCTGTCATTTAACCCTTTGCAGCCCTCCGTCGATTGCCACCCGATATTCCGTCTCGTTCGATCCTCTTCGGTTTTCGCACACGCGGAGGGACATCTGAAACACCTCGACCTTTTCACCCCGAAACCGCTCTGCTGATATCACCCTGCATTTTTCCGAAATTAAATCGCGTACACAATCAACGTTTCAGCTGCAAAGCACTGTGTTTCTCTTTGCACTTTCAATCCGACAAACGAGCGATTCAGATATCGATGCAGGCACGTCATTGGTTAGAAAAATGCAAGAATAGAATGAACTTTTGAGTCGACTATTAGGACGGGTCAGCTAATCGGATGTTGGGACCCGGATGAAGAACCGGTTATAGACCGACTAACCTTTTCAAATATATTTTCGAACGCTTCTGTGTACACAGTACGAGTTCTGCAACGAGGATATATTGCGTCGTCGTATTACATCGGAAATACAATGATGTTCTATAAATTGGCGAAAAGGAAACTGACTCTGCAAATTTTTGGAAGAACTGACAATTTTCGAAGGTGCTTTATACCTTCTAGAAAGGTGAAGATGACCATTGGCCCGTAGCGATAGTAGGAATGTTTATCAGCTAGGTCCTTTAGACTAAGAGTCAACGGATTGTTGGTCATCCGACACTGTCCTCGAAGAGCGAATTAATCGCCGATCTCTTATATACATCTGTGGGCAACTTTCACCGCTACCCATTGTCTTTCGGTGGAAGAACGCTCTTGGTTGGAGCTCTAGGAAGACCTAGCTGAGGCCCAAGGACAACAGTCAGATGGGGATGCTAGACGCCAAGCTGTGACGTCTGGACCGGACCTCGACGGAAGAGGCTATGGACACGTGGGAACAAGGCGACGAAGAGGGGACACGCCCTATAAAACAGCGAGGGATGCATTTTTGGGGCACTATCCGACCAGCGTACGGAGAAGAATAAAAGAGTTAGCCAGGAGCTGAGCGACTGCTTATTAAAATCCTCCCTACACATCGGAGGGATAAAATATGCATGCACGCAGGTTCGATTTTGCAACGGGAAATGAAACGACCTAACGAAATTATCGCCCGAACGAGACTCGCTCTTGACACTTCGTCAAGCGAACAGCCGTTATTAGCGGTTTCAGGAATTGTCGATAGACGGCCAAACCGCCATGGACACAAACTAACGGCAATATTTGATGCGTGCCTGTTTAAAGCGTCGAGCAAATATGAAATCCAGTTTCCAAGTCAATTTTAGCGCCAGTTCGCGATACTCTGCTTATCAAAACTGACCAGCGAGCGTAAGTTACGAACCGCGCCGTCGCAAGTTTCGCCAAGCATAAATAACCGGATAAAGAATTTACGAACGTACACCGGAGATAGCAGTACGGTGGAAGAACTTTCATTCCTGCCCGATTCAAATTGGGTTGTTCCGGAATAGGTTCGTTTAAATATGAAAGTCGATATGTTTAGCCAGCTGCTTTGACGTCGGCAGATCGCGACGACGCGCAGGCTGGATATTGTTCGAGCCTCTCGCGCAAGATGCAGGTTAGACGAGGTCTTCGAGAGTTGTGCGAACCTTTGACGACTGCCGATAAAGCATCTCGGAAGGATGCAAACAAAAACGATAATCGCGTTACGACAGAAACGTCGCGATCTAGTCACAACGATCTCGTATTCTCCGGGAAGCCACTTTGATCCCGCTTTTCAGAATAACAAAGACTTTAGGGAGCACGAGGGCTTCGATCCAGTCCGCTCGGACAATTCACAATGGCAAGCCTGTGCCGTTGATCGAGGAAAAAACGACGTTTGCGAAATTAATACCACCGGGAACCGAGTATTCGCATGGAGTCACCTGAATCGAAGTATCGAATAAATATCGGAAGATGCGCGAGCTCTGCGAAGATGTCGACCCATTGTGCTGGATAATAAATTCATTCGTGTACCAATATGATTTATAAGATATTTTAGTCGTCGTCTGTGGCAATAGGACTCGCGATTTATCGAGTCGATGCAGAGCTTTATGGTGGTTGTCGCGATTTAATGCGGATCTGATATAATGCGCGAAGAATCGGCAGGAGAGGCCATTTTTGAACGAATTACGTGGAAATATCGTTCAAAGGATTATTGCGTTCGTCGAGATATATTTGTGTATCTCGTAATGTAATTCCAATTAATTTAATTCGATAACGAGGAAGGTATATTAATTGTTCGCGATGGTCAACCAATATGGGGTAGATTGGCTAGGATTTTCCGAAAAATTAAACACGATGATATAACGGTTTCAACCCTATCTAGAGGACAACGTTAGACTATAATAAAGACACGAACATAATATACGGAGCGTCCTATTTATGTTAAATAATTAAATAATTAAATAATTTAAATAGTTTCAAAATGCACTGATAATAATGAGAAAAAACATTTTTCAGAGACATATTTAAGGATGATTCGATCCCTTACCTTACCATTTAAGTTGCGATGGTGCGTGCCATAGTCAACAGCAAGGTCGCTCACGTCTCGAGGAATCTTGTCCGAACACGTCGAAGAATAACACGTAGCTGATTCTGAAACAGAAAGACGTCGAGGAAAATTTACTACAAGCCTGACTCGTGATGTTTATGTTACGCTCTATCTACGAACCACACCTCTCGCACTCATATTTCGACCGATTTCCTTGCCACAAATCTCACGTGATATTATAGGCTAAGGGATTAAATACGCGATATCAAACCAACCAACCCAACGATTCAAAGCTCACCCGAAAAGCTATCCGTTCCCATCATGCAACTTCCATGATTAGCATTATACAAGTACACTACTTTGAAATACCCCCAATATCAAACCATCCAACCCAACGATCCAAAACTCAACCAAAAATATACACAAACCAACGCGTATACTATGTATTTCCATCACGCAACTTCCATAATTACTATTATCTAAGTACACCAAATTTAAACCCTTGCCTTACCATTTAAGTTGCGATGGGGTGTGTCGTAGTGGACAGAAAGGACGGTCACACGTCGAGGAACCTGGTCCGAATGCGTCGAAGAATAACACATAACTGAAAAAGAAAGACGACAGGAATTTATAACGAGCAGGTTACAACACGACCGTGACGTTTACGTTCGAGTCCTATCTACGAACCATACCCCTAGCCCGTTATGCTCGTGTTTAGACCGATTTCCTTCCCATGAATTTCACACGATATTGTAAGCTAACGGATTAAATACTCCCGATATCAAATCATCCAACCCTACGATCCAAAGCTCAGCCAAAAACATACCCAAACCAACGCGTATACCATCTATTTCCATCGCGCAACTTCCATAGTTACTACTATCCAAGTACACTGCGTTGAAATACTCCCGATATCAAACCATCCAACCCAACGATCCAAAGCTCAGCCAAAAACATACCCAAACCAACGCGTATACTATCTATTTCCATCGCGCAACTTCCATAATTACTATTATCTAAGTACACCAAATTTAAACCCTTGCCTTACCATTCAAGTTGCGATGGGGTGTGTCGTAGTGAACAGAAAGGACGGTCACACGACGAGGAACCTGGTCCGAACGCGTCGAAGAATAACACGCAACTGAGACGGAAAGGCATCGACTGAAATTCGCGAACAGATTATAATACGACCGTGATGTTTACGTTTGAGCCCTATCTACGAACCACACCTCTCACCCGCCATACACGCGATTGTCCAGATTTCCTTACCACGAATCCCACATAGTATTGTAAGTTAAGGGATTAAATACTCCCAGTATTAACCCTCTGCACTCGGTGATTATTTTGGTTACAGAGAAATAGCAATTTAATGACTTTCTGCTGCAACGTAGAGGATATTTTTGAAACGGTAAAGAAGGAATCGGGTATAAATTAAGACTTAAAATTATTTTATTCCGACATTCCATGCAATCTTAGGTTAGCTTAGATTTGATATGTTAATTAACCCTTTGCACTCGAGAGGTGAGCTTCAGTCACCATTTCACAAAATTTGGAAGATCGATATTGATTAATATGATATATCAAATGTAATGTAACAGTGTGCGAGGTATCAAAGTCAAATAATTCTACAATTCTTTATTTATTTCTCAAAAAAGTATCGTCAGTTTTTTAGTAGAGAATCTTTGATTTTCTACTTTTCTCTAGCCAAAAAATCGTCGAGTGCTAAGGGTTAACATAGGTCTTCGGATTTGATTAAACGGTGACTTAGGCTCGCCTCTCGAGTGCAAAGGGTTAAACCATCCGAACCAACGATAGAAAACTCACCCAAAAACGTACCCAAACCAACACGTATACAAACAGAAAGGACGGTCACACGACGAGGAACCTGGTCCGAACGCGTCGAAGAATAACACGCAACTGAGACGGAAAGGCATCGACTGAAATTCGCGAACAGATTATAATACGACCGTGATGTTTACGTTTGAGCCCTATCTACGAACCACACCTCTCACCCGCCATACACGCGATTGTCCAGATTTCCTTACCACGAATCCCACATAGTATTGTAAGTTAAGGGATTAAATACTCCCAGTATTAACCCTCTGCACTCGGTGATTATTTTGGTTACAGAGAAATAGCAATTTAATGACTTTCTGCTGCAACGTAGAGGATATTTTTGAAACGGTAAAGAAGGAATCGGGTATAAATTAAGACTTAAAATTATTTTATTCCGACATTCCATGCAATCTTAGGTTAGCTTAGATTTGATATGTTAATTAACCCTTTGCACTCGAGAGGTGAGCTTCAGTCACCATTTCACAAAATTTGGAAGATCGATATTGATTAATATGATATATCAAATGTAATGTAACAGTGTGCGAGG